ATACTCCCCACAAAGAATGGATAAATAAATGTTTACAGAAAACAAAATAGATATTAATAAATCCATTATAAATAATTAAGGCACTTTGCATGCAAACTGTTGAGCATAAATATTTGTGACTTTGATTTGTTATTTTTCTATTTATTTTCAATTTCACAGATGGACTGACCTACCAAAACACACAAACTGTTTTATAGAAAGAACATCTAGTGGATTTTCTTGGATAAAGAAGGTTTGTTACATAGAATCAAAAAAATATTAGGAGTCTATACATATTAAACTTATTATAAATTAGCCAATTCCAAGAACATTTTTAAGTTAACCATCCATACAAATACACATTCATTCAGCTTTGTCTTTTGCAGAGGGATAACATCTGTATACCTGTTGATGAATTAGGGAGAGGGGGGTGGAAAGAGAGAGAGAGAGAGAGAGAGAGAGAGAGAGAGAGAGAGAGAGAAAGAAAGAGAGAGAGAGACTGTGGTGGGGAGAAGTCTTAGGGGTTAATAGGCTGGTGTACATGGTGCAAGCAACATAGACTGCCACAAACAGGGTGGGAGGCAAGGACAAAACCCAAAGTTGTCTTCTGACCTCCAAAGGCACAATGGAGTAGACGTGTGCCTGCACTGTGTGCATGAACACACACACTCTCTCTCTCTCTCTCTCTCTCTCTCTCTCTCTCTCTCTCTCTCTCTCTCACACACACACACACACGCTCACACATGCTCACACACACCACACCACAGTTAAAAATAAAACAAAATATTTTTAAAGGCTAGGGAAATAGTCCAGTGGTAGAGCACTTAGCCAACATGTGTGATGTCCTAGGATCAATCCCCAGTCACACATGTCAATCATGATTATTTATTGTGGTACCTTATAATAAGTCATTTCTGGCTTTTTTACACAATACCAACTATATTTCTCTAAGTTAAGATCCAGCTGTCCTTCCATAATGTTACAAACAACTATACAAATGCCATCTACAGCAGAACCCATGTTCACAATTCCTTGAAGGCTGTATTATCCTTGCGATGCTTCCGTGTGAATGTAAGCTTGTTAGTTTTGTTAGTGAGTGTATTATGTAGACAAAAGCAGCTGTAACTTCACCTTTCTTAAATGAGACACTTTCCTGGAAATAGTCTAGTCCAGGATGTTTTGAATAACCACTTACATACTTAGTATGTGTGGGCATTTCCCACTTGTCCAACTGTTCTATTTAATGCAAAGACTATTTCTAGAGATTTCTTAAGCTCTATCACGTCCTCATCAGTTAGGTTAGAAATCTGTTCATCCCCCTTCCCCCAGGAACATCAGTGGAATGATTCCCAGTGTTCCAACAAAAGGTCTAATTTTTGACAATGGGTTTTCGGACGCTATGATCTCTTAGATGCCAGTGTCTCTGGCAATGCATGGTGCATCAGCCCAAGCCAGAGACCAGCAGCCTTGCGTACCCCTCAGCTCCCAGCTGGGCTCTGCTCAGACACCAGTACAAGGGCCCCTGGGAGCATTCCCTTGTGGTAGGAACAGCACAGGCATTGCCCAGTGGTGTCCCTATCTCCCTGGGCTCTCAAAGGACCAGATCCGATTGCTACATTAGAGCGCCAGTTTGGTACCAATTGGTACTAAGCAAGGGTACCAATTTGCTATTCAGACAAGTTGCCCTGATTCAGCTTGCATCTAAGGAAGAGAAAAGCAAAGATCTGGAAATGCCGTAGTCTGCTTTGTGTTGCCATAACAAAATGCCTGACACTGGATACCTTTAGAAGGGAAAGAGTTTTGAAGGCTGGAAGTCCAAGATCAAGCAGTTCTGTGTGTTTGCCTCTGGGAAGGGTCTTCTGGCTAAGTCACAGCATGGTAGGCGGCATCCCGGGATAGAGCGTGTATAGGAACAGCAGCAGTGTGTGCAGAAGAGATCATGCCAGGAGAGAAGCAGCACGAGATCATGTAGGGACCAGGCTTGCCTCTGTACGGCAAATCACTCTTGTAGAAGATACTCTACCTCCAAGAGTTCTAACCACTAAACCCCGTTCCCTACCACTTCTCAGTATGGTTGCACCGGGGCTCAGCAAGGGAGGTGTTGGAAGACCATCCCCATCGAAAGCCAGGACTCACTGCAGTGCCCCAGGCAGGCCTGTTGTCTGTATTTGCTTCTGCAGCAACTACTAATAGATGAAAAAAAAAAAAGAAAAAAGAAAAAAGACAAGATGGTCCATGTTAATTACCTTTTCCATCACTGTGACAAAATGCCTGCCTTAAACAAGCTAAAGGAGGCAGACTTTCTTTTAGCTCACATCCCCAGGGCGTCCTGTAACTTTGTGCCACAGGTCAATAGTGAGGTGAAGCATCCTGGCCGTGAGAGCCAGTGGCAGAGGCTGTATGCTTTAAGATACCGAGGATGAGGCCAGGAACTAGGCATAACCCACAACCCTCAAAGACTTTATGGCTCCAGCTCCTCCTACCAGGCCAACTTTTATGGCCACAGGCTGGAGACATGGCTTTTCTGGCTGATCTTCCACTAGAGGACAAGGGGAGACTCTCAAGTGTGCCTTCAGACAAACTCTCCACCTCCGTCTCAAGGTCTGCAAACATCCTCATTCTTGGATTCTCTCCGTGCTGGCATGGTTAGCCGGCTTAATCACTACCCCACCCCTCTGAGGAAAATGCCGGTTTCAGCCACTTGAGAGAGAAGCAGCCCTGGCCTTCCTGCAAGGCTTATGATAACTCATTCCTTATAAGGAGAGGACAAATAAGAGCCCACGCTCAGGGCTCAGGAATGCACGTCTGTGTGTGTTCTTCCCAACTGTACCTGGTAATTGGACTCTACACCTGGGGGCGTCTTTCCTGTGGGCAGCGGAGTGACACCCTCCCCCCCCCCCCACTCCTGTGGAGGAGAGTCAGTAGCAATTACGAAAGGTAAGAAAGGTAATCACAGCCAGAAAGACTCTGCATCGGTGCCACAATTACATTGAACTTGACGGAAGAGCTGTTTAACTCTAAGCCCGCTCTTCTCCCTATTATGTGAGAAGCAGTCTTCCTGTCCATTGCAACACCTGCCTCACCACGGGTTGTTTATTATTTGACCAAAACAGCTCGACGTGTACAGGACCAAAGTCAAAGTTTCTCTAGGACCTGAGTTATAAACCACCGTGACTTTAGCTGTTAGCCGTTCACATGCCCCAGCATGGCATTTACTAAGGGTCAGGAGACATTTACTAATGTCTCTACTAACTCAGCAACTACACCCTGTTACCAGAGATGGTATTGAAGCTCAAGGAAAGGTTACGCCATTTGCCTGAGTTCTCTCAGCTGGTAAGTAAGAAACAGAGCTATGAACCAGTCTTTCTTACTCCATATCCATCAGAACCCCTTCAGGGGAGCTACAAAGCCCCCAGGATACCAGGGGCCACCCCCCCCCCCCGCCCCCCGGGCTGTGCATTGTGAAGGATAAATTCTGCCTCTCCAGAGTGCTTCACAGGGATTTCCCAGAACTTAGGGACTAAATGAATGATGTGTTTCCTGTGTGTGTGTGTGTGTGTGTGTGTGTGTGTGTGTGTGTGTGTGTGTGTGCAGGTGCACATGCAGGTATGCACATCTATGTGCAGGTGTGTGCAGGTGCACACAGAGGTTAGAGGACAACATTGCCTGTTGTTCCCAAGAGTCACCCACTTGTTTTTTTTGCGACAATTCCTCTCATTGGTGAATAGTCTAGGCTAGGCTGCCCTGTCAAGGTGGCCCGGGGAATTGTCTGTCGCTGCTTCACAGAGCTAGGACTATGAGCACACAATGCCACTCTTGGTTTTTATTTTTTAAAAGTACATTTTGGAGAGTGCCAGGGAATACTTCTTTACTGCCTTAGCTATTCCGAAAGCCCTGTATTTCCGGCCAAACTGTTTTCCTTCTATGTTACTCGGAGAAATACAAACCCAGAAGGCCAAAGCTGGAGTTTTCCCTCAGCACGGAGAAGCCCAGCCTGCAGGGCTGTCTGAGGTCTTTCTGGGAAATACACGATGCCTGAGCCTCCCTGCTGAGCTGGCCTGCCAGCCTGTCCCCTGGCTGCTCTCACAAGCCACCCAGGCTGCACCCCTCGGCTGCCCCTCCCCCACATTCAGTGTGTGGTTGTCCAGACAGTCTGCCCCGCCATGACCCCTATTCTTTATTTATTATGTACTTAGCACATATGCAAGACCCAGTGCTGAGCTCCTGGGGTCAAGACGGCCAATCTCTGCCCTCTTGGAGCAGTCGCTCAGGAGTAGAGAGCAAATAGCTCCCGGTTACTCAATCACTTTGCTGTCATTATATAAGTCATTAAGAAATTGTGAAATCGCTCGGAGGGTGTCTGAGTGAAGCAGGGATGAGGGCCTGCTTACAACTAGGACTGAGGAGATGCCCCCTCCAGGAAGAAGACAAGATGGCCAGAAGGTTCAGAAAGAGAGGTCAATGGCAGAGTGAAGCCAAGAGGTTGTCAAGGTGAAGATCCAGCAAAGCCCTGTGTGGAGCCCCCTTTATAATTCTGGACATTATTTTACAAATGAGGAAACTACATTGAAGGGTTTCATGTACAGAAATAAAGAAGGCATGAATGATGCACAGGCCAATGGATTCCAAATGGTGCTGAGATTTAGGGAGAAAGTACCGTGGGGGATGGGGCTTTGGTCTCTGGAATAAGCTAGGTTGACAGTAACTTGAAGGTGGACTTTTGGGATAGAGTCTCATAAAGGCTGGGCTTGAGTTCACTATGGAGCCAAGGATGACCTTGAGCTTCTAATTCCCCTGCCCCGGGTTCTGAGGTGCTGAGATTACAGGCATGAGCCACCAAGCAGCCCTATGCACTCTGGAAAGCACTCGTCCAACTGAGCTTCGTTCCCAGGCCCAAAGAACGGCTCTGAAAAAGGCTACATGAAGGCTTGTTCTTGAAGAATGGTCAGGTAATCCTGCCTGTCACCCTGCTGGAAGTCTGATCTAGAACTCTGGCATTGTTACATCACGTGAGTAGCCCACTGAGGCCTGCTCAGAGAGGTAGATCTGGATATGCTGTTAGGGCCAACTGTGGGAAGTCTGGTAAGAGCATGGTGTTGGGATCCCAGCCACGGATGCTTTTGTCCAGGTTGTCCCATGAGCTACCCTCCAGGCCGAGAGAAGCCTCAAGAGATCCCAGATGTCCTCCCTGGAATCTGCAGGGCAGGCCACCTCTGCTGGCTGAGTTCTTTGGTCCCTAAGACCTTCTCGCAGAACAAGAAGGACCTCTATGCAAGGTCTGCTGGTCTCTTCTGACCCCAACACTAGGACCATGTCACTCCAAAGGAAGCCATGGGCAGGAGGTTCTGTGGTCCCAGATGAGGCCAACAGGCATGCTCTATGGTGGATGACTATAGGCTAGCAGGGGACTTTGAGGAGAGATGGGTAAAAAGGAAGTGCGAGGAATCTACACGGACTTTTGATGAATTTCATGGGAGAAGACAACAAAGAAAAAAACAGCTCATAACTGAGGTGTGGTTGTACCCAGAGATGGTTCTGCTTTGGAAAGCTGGACTGGCTTTGCCTGGAGATAGATTTCAACACACACCAACACGCATACATATACACATGCACACATACATTCAAAAGCATACACATGCACACACCTGTGTGCAATATACACATTTACATACAACACACATGCATACACACATACATATATAGACACACACACATTTACACACACACTCCATACAGTTCTTTGTTAAAGGAATGCTAACATTTCTTTCTAATTAAATTTTACATTAGCCTAGGTTATCAGAGTTTTCCTGCTGAGCTCATGTCCACTAAAAGTTCCTGTTAGCTGGGCGGTGGTGGCACACGCCTTTAATCCCAGCACTTGGGAGGCAGAGCCAGGAGGATCTCTGTGAGTTCGAGGCTAGCCTGGGCTACCAAGTGAGTTCCAGGAAAGGTGCAAAGCTACATAGAGAAACCCTGTCTCGAAAAACCAAAAAAAAAAAGAAGTTCCTGTCAGAGCTCCCTGTGTGGTTTATTGGCAGTCTGTAGTGCTGCTGCTGTGTGCTGAAGGAAAAAGAAAAAAGAAAAGAAACTGGAGAGGAAAAGAGATGGTGTTAAAATTAATTAAGAAGCTAAGACAGAACTGTAAATCAACCAAATCCTGGAGCTGCTTTGCAGCTGACACAGACTGATGATGAATTAGTGAAAGGCCATGCTCATGTGGGCAAGATGCTGTCCCTGATGTGTGTGTGGCCAGCAAGGCTTTGAGGAGTGTCTGCCTGGGATGTGCTGTCTCCCAGCAGGGTGAGAGAGGAAGTTTTTCTGCACACTTCCAATTGCTGCAATAACATTGTCCTGCCAGAAATTCAGGGAAGTGTCCCAAACCAGCTCTGCCTGTAGCCAGCTGTATGCTTTGGAAAGTCTCCTCACCCACTGGAATCTCTACGACTTTATCTCTGAAATGACAGCAACAGTTTGCCCTTTAGCTGAGTGTGGACCGTGTGCAGGGCTGACCCACAGGAGTTAGGACAGCGCCGTCATTCCCACAAGAGTAGGCATGCCTCGTTGAGTAAGTATCCCATGCAAGATGACTTCAAACACTGCCTGTTTACCCAATGAGCCCTAAGAAAAGACTGTGATAAATGTGAAACAGCGTTGTTCTGTAAGTGAAACTGACAGGTGACTCTGTAATAGTCTGGTGTTTCGGTGGCATGTTGCCTACTTCAACTCACATATGGTGTTTATGAATTTATGAGGACTGATTACCATACTAGTGATTTTGATTATATACTTAAAATCATATCATTTTTACAAAGCAGAAATGGTAGTTTTATTAACAACACAGCATTTCCAGTCAAATTCTTCTAATGTGCTTTTGATATCACTGTCTTTCTAGAAATTAATTTTAAATTTTCATACAGATCTATATGTTGAGCGTATCTCTCCTTGTTCGCCAAGTCCCTCCACCCTTCCAATCCCCACCCCCCCACCATTTATTACTTGTTCTCTTAGACAATTTTTCTACTACTTTCATTTAATATGTACATTCATGATTTTATGTGACCATATAAAATCCAGGAACCACCAATGAAAGAAAATGTGGTGTTTGTCTTTCTGAGAATGACTTGATTTGCTTAACATGATTAATTCCAGTCACATTCATTTTCCTGCAAGTGACGTAACTTCGGTCTTTGTGGCTGAAATGTATATATAAATTTTCTTTATTCCTTTGTTGTTGGAGATCCTCCTTCCTCCTCTGCTTTTAGAACCATCCTCACCGGTTCCCAAAGACAAGCACTACCTTTCCTCTCTCACAGCCTAGCTCCAGGCAAGCTGGAGAGTGAGGAAAACAATGTCAACTTTCTCACCAGGGACTACCTGTGGAAGAAGAGACCTTGATAAACATCTAGGGTTAGAAGATAAAACCCTAACCTTGGGCTGAAGATAGTGTCTTTAAAAGGCAATTAAGCATCCTTAAACTGAAGCGACAAACTAAACTACTTTGAACTGGAATTCAGTGGAACTTGGGGTGGAGAGAAGGGTGGCCAAGCCTCGTGGCTGAGTGGCCGTCAGCTCAGAACACGGAAGCGATTCAGAGTGTGAAGACATTTGTCCTGACGGACACCTCCCAGGGTTTCTCAGCTCTGACTATTTCATAGACCTTCAAAAAGCAGGGAGAGGAGTTGGAGCAGCTTCTTCGTGGAAACTGAGGGGGAAGGCAAGTTTCACACAAGTTATGGTGAAGTAAAACAAGGAGCGTCCATGGAATGGGGGGCAGAGGGGGACAGATGGAGAAGCTGAAGGAATTTAGTGGCCGCAGGAACAGGAGCCAAGGCTAAGCACAAACAGGCTCCGTAGTGACAGAAGATGCCTTGGCTGGTGTGTGTGTTTCACAGGCCTTGGGATAAGTGAAGCCAATCTGTGGTTGGATGGGGTTCTTTGAGTACTGTGTGGGACCTACACGGAGTTAGACCAACTTCGTAATAGCCCTGGCAGGCATGAAGATATTCCGAAGTGACACTTGTGCCCTTCCATTGCCTACCAGACTATGAAAAAATGATTCTCCACAAGTCAGAATTTCCCATGAATCTCATGGTATCAACCAGAACTTGTCTATGAGAAGGATTTTACACAGTTTTGGCAACCCGTCAGAACAGGACAGAGAGACTAGAGGCAGAGAATGACGGAGGGACCTACCACACCTTGGCCGGGACTGCTTGGTTATGCATGTCTCCTGCCTTCTGTTTAAACCAAAATCTCAAGTCAAGACCTGAAAGACAGACTTGGGGATACAGGGGAGCTCTTTGTACCTCTGCCAGATATGGCCACATTGACTAAATCTCCCTCTTCTTCCTTTCATTATTACTTTTTACAACTTCATTTCATTTGAAATGGCCCACTGAGAACTGGTGGCCAGGCCTAGGATATTAGGGTTAACAGGGCAAGTCACGTGACAGTTTGACTCATGCACTTCAAGGGTGGGCCCTGCTGAAAGGTCAGCACCCTTCAGTGGTGAGTCTGCTCCACTGGCCCCAGTAGCTGGTCTCCCAGTTTGGGGTCTCTATACTAGAAGGAAGAATTCTGTGATCTCTCAGCTCTTCATAAGGTTTTATGTTGCCATCTGAGAGGTTACTTGATTTCTCCTTTCTAGCAATCCCGCAAGAGCCCCAGAGCCCCCCACCGCTGGCCTCCCACAGTGGCACTAGCTGTCACGTTCACTTGTTTAATTCATGCTCCCTGGTCCCTGTCCCCAAATTAGAGGTACTCTCTTGTTAACCACAGCATCCCTCTCTCAACCTGATCCCCATCCTCCCAGTCCAGGACCAGCTGGCCGGGCGCCTGTGGATTTCAGGGCGTTCACAGCTCTTTCGCCAAGGACAGAGCCCTCTGACCTCTGTGTCCCCGGAGAACTGATTCCTGACTGGGGTCCCTGGTTCCTTCAGACATTCCTGCGTGCTGGCAGAAGTCTCCGCGTTGGTTGCGGGAACCCTTGACGGCTGTCCTTGCTGCAACTTCTGACCTTTCTGCAAGTTGCTTCCTTGGGGGATTATTAAACAGCGAAGTGCCAGGACACCCCCAGACTTGGAGACTCTCAGAGCTCCGGCTGGCTCTCCTGGTGGTCAGCCTTCCCATCACAGTCGTGCAGGATGTGTGGTTCTGGACACGTGGACTTTGTCCCTCTCCTCTCCCTTGGTCGCTCCTCTTCCTCTGGCTTTTCTCGTCGGGGCCCTTTTGGCCACAGTGTTAGCTGAGCCATTGCTGGCCGTCTGGAAAGATGGAGACAAACACAAAGAAAGCCTGTTCTAGCTCTTCTTGGCTGTTTACTCCCTGCATGCCCAGCCGCTGGACCTTTGAAAAGTACCCCAAGAGCCTGGCATGGCTTCTAACACATCTTTCAGCTTCTTAAGAAGCTCCCCTTGCCTATTGGCTGTTTAGATGACAGAATTCTCTCCTGGTTCTCCAAACACTCCACCTTTAATGAATGATTGATTTATTTTGGACACTTATATGCCAGCCACTGTGCTAAAGACTTTGCTTCTATTGTCTCGCTGAATTTGTATCACAATCCTGTAAGCCGGGAACTGTACACTTCCAGCATTTTACAGAAGCGGTAACTGAGGCCGTGAGAGGTTAGAAAGCGACCAACTCCATATTGACACAGCTTAGTCAACAGCTCAGGGGCTCTGGCATCTTTTTGTGTCTTACGTCTGCAAGTCATTTCCTATACCATAAGGTGCTCCCTCCATCCTGCCCGTATGTGAGTAGATGGGTACAGGTGGCTTGCCATCCTTAACTTAGCACATGTGGTATTTCTATAGTTGCATGTGGAGGAAGACACTTAGGTTGATGGATAGGTGAGTGAATGGTGGGATAATGGGCAGAGAGGTGGAGAGGAGAGTGGGTTGGCAGGTGAGTGTATGGGAGGAGAGATGGATGGGTGAGTGGTTAGATAATGGGTGGACAGGTGAATTATGGGAGGAGAGATGGATGGATAGATGAGTGGGTAGATAATAGGCGGATGAATGGGTGGAAAGCAGACATGAACGGGTGGATGATGGACAGAGGGATGGGGTGGACTTCTGGTGATCAAAGGATGTTTGTACAGAAAAACATTTTGGAATACAAGGTACTCCAATACTGGAGCTATCCTTCCCTGGTCTCTTTTCTCCAGACCCAACAGTCTGTTCTGTTCCTGTGAGGAGGGCTGTCTCCAGGTCCTCACCCACAGAGGATAACAGCAGCTGTGTTGCCTTCAGCAGCTACTTCCGCCCGGGGTTTATTTTTCCAGATGCTTCACACTAACTTTGGAATTCAAAATAAGTTTGCCCAGGAAGTCTTCATTTTCTTTAGGAGTGACTGTCATCTGATCTCTGTGGGGCCCCGTGTCCTAAACCTGACTCAACAGGGTCTGTCTGTGGGATGAGCTGTTTACGTCTGGAGTCTAAGATACTCTGCTCTGCCAAAGCAAGGAGATCTGCACCTCCCAACACACTGGCGCAGAGCAGAGCCTAGGCCTGTACGCAGCTCGCTCTTTTAACCCAGAACAAGTTCATGGGAAAGGTGAGCTTGCAAGACAGAGACAAACTTACCCATCAGATCCACAATCCCCTTCGTCTCCAAAACCTTGCCTATCATCCTCCAATCCACACAGCGTCTAGACCCTCTCGTGGATCCAGGTGGCAAACACATTCTTGCTAAAGCATTCATGACTTACTGCTTTCCTTTACCATTAGAAAGAGTTCTTCCATCAAAACAATAACACAATCAGAGGCAAAGTTACCCAAATAGCTCCTTGCCAGTGTTATTTGCTATCCTTGCCATTCTGGCTCATACGTTCTAGGCTGTTCAGTTTTTCATAACTAGTTTTATGTATTCGCTGGTTAAAGTTATTATAAAGTCAAGTGGATCAGAGAACAACTCAATGCCAAGTTCTTTTCCAATGACTCTTGGGTCTCTGAAAAGGCTCTTTCTATCTTCCTCAGACTGAGGGCTTGGGACACAAACATGGTAACTCTCTCACAAGTCAAGTCCCTTGACCAATGTCTCACTACAGGGGCTACAACTTGTCAGAAGTGGCCTGGTCCTGCACCTTACCTGGATTTATCTGTCCCTTCAGGGTGACCAAGAGACCCTGGCCATGAAGACAGGGATGAGGCATGGCCTTTGTCTGGCCCCTACTTTCATTAACAAGGGCCTGTATGTGGGAAAGTTGACTTAGCATCACAGGACAGTTATCGAGATGGTACCTAAAATCTGCATTTTGACCCAGGCATAAAATTGAAGAAAGGAAACATGGCATTTATCCTTCTTTGGTTTCACCCTGAGCTTTTCAGTAAACTCAACATGCCCAGCTCTAATCTTTCTTGTCTGGCTGTGAGCTAGAATAACAGGCCAACACATTCCTAGCCAATGTGAAAACAGATTAAACTTTCACGCTCCATGAACTGTGAACAAACCTGCAGGTTACAGGTATACCCCTGCTCCTGGCAAGCCCGTGCTTGGGTCCCAAGCTCCTTTCTTTTTTAAACAAGAAAAGGATTCTGTGAAGGGGCCATGTCCTCCTGATGGGGGGAACCTTCTGTGGGCACCTTTGTGAAGACTGGAGAAATGTGTGCAGTCTTCCAGGTGGTTGCAGTGCCCCCCCAGGCACATGGCTGGTCCAGTAGAGTACAGAGGGATTTCATCCCATCTATGGATGAGAGTAAGGCACCCCTGGCTTCTGGACCACGCAGCTGCTCTTGGAGGACCTCTGACCGCCCTTTCAAAGATAAAGGTGCCTTGGCTTTGGGAATGCTGTTGTAGTTCTGTTGGCCATAGACCTTGAGAACAGCAATTGTGTCCGTGACTGGGCAATGAGAGGAGTCAGCAGACTGACCGGGGTCAGCATTGCTTACCTGCTGGTTCAAGGCCTCTGTCATCACTGCCCACGCAGCAAAAAGGAACTGAATATCAACCAACACAAGCTGCAGACATCTCTGAAACCTTCCCATGAGAGCAGCTCATAGATGGGAAGCAAAGCGTTCTTCATAAAGATGGAGCCAGAGCATTCTTGGGGGGCTTCCCCCTGGCTATAGGCAAAACTGCTCTGAACTTACCCTAAAGTGTTCCTAATAGCTGGAGGGGGGTGTTGGTTTGAGCTTTCCTTTAGTATAAACATGTTGCATGGCTTCTGTCTGAATGCTTCCTGAATGCTTCCATGTTTGTGTTTTAATTGTACTGTAGACGAAAAGAAAATTTCCCATCAAGTCAAACACCAGCCATCCACCCCTATTTCCATCGTCCCTACCCTTCTTCCCCTTTCATGGGTTTCCTCAGAGACCATCCTGACAAGGAGATTCAATGGGCAGGAAGGTTTATGAGCCAAACAGAGCTCAACCTATGGGGGAGTAAAAGAAACAGAATTAGGGGACCACAGCACAGTTGTCATGGGAACCACAAATCTGGCAACTCCAGAAGAATACTTTTCCTCCAGCATCTTAGGTAAGTGCCTTACTGGTGCAGGATGCCTGTCCTTTAGTTACTGTGACCAGGTCAAGAGTGATTATGACTAGACACAGATGACATGACCCTGGTTATCTGGAAAATAAAAACAATTGTTGGTGCCGGCAGGATGGCTCAGTGGGTGGAAACACTTACAACAACAAGCCTGGGGCCCTGAGTTCAGTCCCTGGAATCCACGTGGTGGGAAGAAAGAAGCAACTCCCTTAAATTGTCCTCTGACTTCCTTCCACACAGGCACTGTGCCATGCACACACCTCTTCCCCGAGACTAAATAAATAAAGGCAAAAAATACATAAAATAAAAAATTATTGGATGGACAAAAGCAGCATGTAACTATAGACCTCTAAATACACCCCTAAAACTGTAACTAAACCCGAAAGGATTAGTGAGAGCAGGAGGCTAGGGAAAGTACTCAGTGAGCAGTTCGTTGTGTTTCTTCCTCTGTAGGCATGAGAACAAATACAGCCTCAAGTCTCGGGGCAAACAGGTGCTGATACAAGTCAACATGGGCTCAAACTAAAACCCCAAGTGTGAACTGCGCCTGAACCTTTCTGAAGAATAAAGACTGTTCAGCAATCGTCTTCCAGCATGTCCAATCTGTTACCTCTCTTCACTTCCTCAGCCGGTTGAGCATGGGTCACCAGAACCGTGAAGAGGATGCTTCAATAGGCAGAAGGTATTTCTCAAGAAAGCCAGTGCCCAGAATTGTCCTGACCAGAGCCAGTGTGTCTGGATGAAGTGGGGGTTAATCCCTGTACCCATATGGACAATCAGCAATGTCTAGTAGCTGAGACTGGGTCGCGCCTGTCTTTCCCTCCTCAAAGCTGAGAATGTCTTTGGCACCTCTTAAAGAACGAAAGGACAGAAAGTTCTGGGCCTTTGGCAGCAAGCCTCCCTGTTCATACCCTTACTTCAGCTCTCCACTGTGGCCAGCTGGATGTCCCAACACTCCCCAAACTCCAGGATCACCCCATTCTGCACCCTTACCATGCCTGCCACTCCTCTGTGAGAACACACTCTTCCTCACACCCATAACTCACCCTCAGAATCCAGTCCCCTTCTCAAAGCCAACTTCAAAGCCCTTAAAATACCTTTCCTCAGCTGTCTTCTTGATAACTTTAATCTCCTCGTGAAACAAGCATTGTTCCTTATGTTGTGTTAACTTTAAAGATAAGCGTCGTAACTTTAAAAACAAATATCTAGAACCTCCCATGTACCAGGCACAGGAGGAGGTGGAGACACGTGAGATTAAAATTAACTGGGCCAGCATGGTTAATATAGTTAATAGTCCGGAGAGCATGTATTTCCACTTGCCAGTTTCTAAGACGTTAGCATTCATTTGCTTGTTTTAGCTCATGCTTCAGCCAGTTCCACCACCAGCCAGCTCTGGACGTTGGGCTCCAGGCTCATCAAAGATCTTTTCTCACCCCAGTACTAAGTCTTACATGTTATGATTGCCTTTTAGCTTTCAGAAATCACTTTTCTTCTTGATAGTTTCATCCAGAGATCCAGGAGGTCTCCTGGAGCGTCATATAATTGGGAACGGAAGTTTGGAACTGGTGCACAATAGCATCCTTGTATCAACTGAATGTGGTCAGTGTGATGGCCAAATTGGTGAGAAAGCAAGCCCTAAGTCCTTCTTAGGCTTCTTCCTCTCCCCATCTGAAAAGTGGGGAGGTTGTACGAGTGCCCACAAAGGTCCGTTCCACAGCTCACGTCATAGCTGATCTACAGTGATTCACTCTCATGCGCTCTCACAGGAACACACTGTGTTTGGACAAGGCAGCCAAACCACCTGGCAGAGGAAAAATGAATACTCAGCTACTCCCAGCCTCACCCCAGCGGGACATGCTGAGCACTTGGAAGCCTTGAGATTTAGTTGCTGGCCACGATTTTCAGCATAAACATAGGAAACACTTGAACAAATAACTTGTGGAAAGGGAGCAGCAGCCAGCACTGCATGATTGAAAATCACCCCCTTCCCTCCATGGGCAGCTTTGTTGCCTAGCTCTCTGTCTCCTGGTCATGGCCACAGTTTGCTAACTTGAATGAACCACAGTCAGAGCACTATGTTGACTCTGCTTCAGACTCCGTGTGCTTGGTAGGCAGGCATTCATCGCTCAAAGAATTCAACGGAAGACAACAGTTCTGTCGAATGACTTAGGTGACTGCAAGCGACGTATAAGCTACTTAGACTGACCTCTTCCTAGGCCAACATATGCATCATGATTTCTGTCTTGGTTCATGCTTGTCCTGGTTAGTTTTAACTGTCAACTTGACACAGCCTAGAGTATCAGTTGAGGACTTCCCAGATCCTGTGAGCATGTCTGTGAGGAATGCTATTGATGGTTAACTTATGAGGCCTACTAAGTCCACTATGGTCAGCAGCATCCTCAAGAAGTTGGTCCTGAGCTAAGCTTGCTAACCACGAGCCTGCGCTGAGTCAATAAAAGCAATCCCTCCATTGTGGTGATATTTTGTGTGTTAATAAAGCTTTCCTTGAGATCAGGGGTGCAGGGGGGAGGCAACCATTTTGAGTAAATAAGGAAGTCAGCACACGCCCTTAATCCCTTAGCAGGCAGGGTCTCTGTGTGTTCAAGGACACACTAGGGAACAGAGCCAAGCTGGTGACACATGCCTTCTATCCCAGTACCAACCATAGAGACCTAGAGGTCTGCACAGACGGACAGAAAGTGACAGAGCTGTGTAGGAAGAGGAAGTGAGGTAGCTGGGCTAAGAGAGCCAATGAGAGGGCAGAACAGCAAGGTAATAAAGGCATGGGTAGACAGGAAGTAACTCACATTTGGAAACTGCAGAGTTGGTGAGGTAAGGTTGGCTGGTGGCTTTCCCTATTTCCCTAATCTAAGGCTTTCACCCCTATATTTGGATCCATGTTTTTTTTATTTTAATAAGACCATTTAGAAATTTGTCTACACTCCATTGTATCTGCTTCAGTTTCTTGCTTGAGTTCCTGCCTTGACTTCCCTCAATGATGGACTGTGACCCGGAAGTATAAGCCAAATAAACCCTCCCCTTCCACAAAATTGCTTTTGATCAGAGTGTTTTATTACAGCAACCAAAATGAAACTAGAATAACACATTTGTCACAACCAATCTTGTAGACTGGGAGTTTATAAAGAATGTAAGCTGATTTCATAGGACAGCTCTGCAGACCGAGTCCAAGATCGGGTAACAGGGGATTTGATGAGGTAAAGGTTCTCTCTCTCTGCATCCTAGATGGCACCTTGTTCTCAAGTCCTCACAAGAGAAAACCAAATGGAAGTGAATTCTTTCTCTCTCCTCCATTGCTTTTGCAAGGGTGTGAATTGATCCATGATCCACATCTCAACACCATTGCCTTGGGAGTTAAGCCCAACATATGAATTTTTAAAGGGCAGCACTTTCTTCTTGTAGAAGGTCTTCACTGGTGCCTCTCAGTTACAAGGCTGTCACATGTGCCTCTGCTCCCATCAGCTAAGCAATACACTTCTCAAGAGTCAGTGTACTTGTCCCCAGGTCTGATTATGACAGTAGTCCTTGTGGTCATGACTGTAACTTATTTGAACATTATGTGAATTAATTAAATGCAAGGGTGTAAATGGAATTGTTGGATATATTGAAAAGCAATCTAAGGGGTGAAAACTCTAAATTTTTAGATGCATCTACAACCAATGTTTATATAAAGGTGGTTGGGTTAAATGAAAAAATACAAAAAGATAAATTGTCCTACAATGTCTGTGTCCCTTGTTCACTCTTTGAAGAAGCTAAAATTAAATATTATGGAGGAGACATCTGGCTGTAGCTTACATAAAGCAACCCAAATACCAGTCGGAAGGATTCATACTAAAGGAAATAAAATACAGTTTTTATGGACCCACATAAAAACATCAATTTATACTATATATTTTAATGTATGTAATATTCTTAAATTAGCTACTTGAAAAGTAACATATCTAAGTATATATCAACTAGATATACTGAAACATAATAATCTACAGTCCAGGATCCACGTGCTTTGTAGTTTTTCAGTCCATATTCAGATTTTAGCGTTGTCTCCACAGTCGTCATTATCAAAATTCTAAATGTGTATTAAAGTAGAAGACAGAGAGGGAATTACCATATCCCATCTAGATTTTGCCACCCATACACCATTTGTCTGTTTGTTTTTGTTTTGTTCTGGTATGTTTGAAGCAAATTCAGACCCTGTCATTTTATCCTTACTTTAGTAGATGCTCTGAAAAGCATGGCTGTGTTTGCCCGTGACACAGTGCTGTAATTGTGGCTGCCATAATTAGCAACAAGTCTTTGGCATCATCTAATACCTTTGCGCACTCAATTTTTTTCTTATTGCTCCCCAAAATGTTTTTCTATTTTTTTCAAACTATGGTGCAAATACAGTACACATTACATTTGGTTATGTCTCATACCTTTTAATATTTAGGAAGATGTTGTCCAATTTATTTATATAAGACTTTCTTTGTAATCATATGTTTGTGTATGGATATGTTAATGTGAGGGCAGGTGAGGCCGGAGGCTTCAGATACCTCTGAGGCTGGAGTTACAGGCTGTTGTAGTATACCCGACATGGATGCTTGGAATTAAATTCAGGTCTTTTGTAAGAACAGGAAGTGCTCTTAACTGCTGAACTCCATCCCCTCCCTCATATTTTTATTTATTGAAGAAATCCCTTTTGTAAATAGAGATGTGAAGATTTTTAGTTTGTTTTTGTTTTTGTTTTTAGCTATGCACATGGGTGTGTGTGTGTGTGTGTGTGTGTGTGTGTGAGCTGTGTGTATGCAGGTACCCAAGGAAGCCAGAAGAGCGTGTTGGATCTCCAGGAGCTGGAGTGACAGGTAAATGTGACCTGCCTGGCATGGGTGGTAGAACCAGAATTGTGTGAAAGAGAAGCAAACGCTCTTATTCCCTGAACAATCTCTCCAGTCCAGATGTGAGACTTTAAAAACCTTCAGAGAACCTCAATGAGAAGCAACTCACAAAAAATTTAGTAGTAGTGCATCCCCACATGTAATAAAACACACCCAAAATTCTCCCAGGGCGCTCAGGGGCTGGTGCTGTCATGTCCCAGAAAAAAACTTTTTTCTACCTCGTGTACAGACAGTGACAGAGTGAACAAAGAATGGAAGACACTGAAAGATGATGGACTGTCAGCTCAAGCCACCAAGAAAAGGAAAATCAAACACAATGAGGGGCAGATACCATTCCCACCACTTGGAGAGTATAATCAGAGGAAGAGAATGTGAAACAGTGTTGAGGAACCCGATGCATTGCTTTTGGGGTGCATTTGGAAATAAGATAGCCACTCAAAAAATTAAGCAAGTTATCACAAAACTCAGTAACTCTGCTTTTGAGTATATACAGAAGATAAATGAAAATTGTGTTTAGATAAAGGCTTGTATATGAACATTTGTAGTGGAAATGACCCCAATGTAGATGATGAGTGAATAAATTAATATAGAATATTATTTCACTACTAAAAAAATCACAAATACATGCTGAAACATAAATGAACTTTGAAAATATTATGTTAAGTGAGAGAAACCAGTCAAAAAAGCAATTCATATTGGCAGGGCATGGTGGCACACACCTCTAATCCCAGCACTCCAGAGGCAGAGGTAGGTGGATCTGTATGAGTTTGAGGCCTAGGCTGGCCAAGACTACATGTAACAGCCTGTCTAACCAAAAAAAGAAAAAAAAACATATGATTCCATTTATATGAAATATTTGTATTTACAAATCTTTGGAGACATAAAGCAGCTTAGTGATTGCTTAAGACTGGGAGATCTGGCAGGACTTCGGGGAAGATTGGTTAAGGAGTGAGTGTGGAATTTCTGTTGGGGGTGACAGAAATATTCACAATCGGTGGTGGTAGTTGTACAACCCTGAATATACCGTCATCAGATGTTGATTTGAAGCAGGTAAACTGTATGGGATAGGAATTGTGTCTCAATAAAGGAACCTGAGCTCAATTTCATGTGGTCAAAAACGATCCAGTTGAGAAGCATTAAGAACTGATAACCCAGCTATTAGAAAGTACATGTGTAGGCACCATCCACACACCCACTTCCCCATCCCCCAACCCTGCCCTCCACAAATCCAAGGGTCTGTTATTAGCCTTTCCACATTCAGAGTG